ACCTCATAATTTATTTAACCGGTGCTCTTCCATCGACTCGCAGCCGAGTTCCACGCTTGGAAGTAGTGAGGGTCACCAGGAATTCCTCTTTCTCACTTTGAGCAAAGTGAGTGGCACGCCTTCGCAGTCTTATCTGCCACGCGGCCAAAAAGGGAGATTTTGGAGACAACACTTGCATATCATTTTTGTCCTTAACAAGGTGAACCCGACCTCTAGATAGATAGATAACTCATGGAGCAATGAAAAGCGCAATGTTTTTGTTGTGAAGTGAGATTTATCTCGTTTAGGTTCATTTTGTCGGTTAATATGGCTTAACAACCATAATGCTGCTGTTGTATTAGGTCATGAAATGCCTTTTGTTAATTCTATAGAAGTTGGCAATTGTTGATTTTATGAAAGTCAATAATTGTTGACTTATGGAAGTTAGCAGTTGAAAAAAACCTAATCGTATGGGATCCACTAGGAAACCACATGTAATGGACTTAGACAAAACCCTAGGGCGGCCAACCTAGTAAACCACCTTCAAAGTCTAAGAACCTTATACATAGGACACATTGGGAGTATTTTATTTTTAAACAATGTTTTTGTGTTTCTTAGGTGAGGAATTGACCAAGAGGTATGATATTTATTAACTCTCCTTTTTCTTTTCTTTAATAAATAGGTAATTGATTGTTTTACACATGGATTTTTGGAGAAAAAGAACAGTAAGGGAAAAAGGATGAATTTAGAGTTATAAATGTCTGCCATTATCCAAGAAGAACAAGTTACACAATGATGGATTCTTTGTGCAGGCCAAAAGACCTTGTGTAAAAGACTTGGTTGCTGCTTGGAATAGTTTGAGTAATCTTGACATAGTGAATTTTACTAGTTGAGAAAAAGCAAGTTTCTCAATATAAGAGAAGAAAAGATATGAAGGAGGCAATCTCCTCATTATTTTTCTTTTCAAAAAAAAAAAAAAAGAAATTAAAAAGGTCATGAAGAGGGCAATCCCCTCATGTTTTTGGCTTTACATGCAAGTGGCTAAAGTTGTTCTTGACGATGAAGAATCCATGTGTAAAACAAATAATTAGAGGATAGATTTACTCATCCATTTCTCTAATGGAAACATTGGGAACTTATCTTTCAAGATGCCAATTAGATAAATCCATTATTTGTTAATAATGCTTATATTTCTTTAGGTGTTGAAAGATTGGTCCTAAAAAGAATTATCCAAGAGTTCGTTCACCTATTCTCACTAGAGCTCTTGCAAGGAAGATGGCTGACGAAGCTAATTTAGATAATTTAGAGAAGGTAGCTCTGGAAAATCGTGTTGAAAATATGGAAAATACTTTGAAGGAATTGATGGCTTCCGTCCAATCTCTTCAAGCAACCTTAGTCACAAGGCCACCTTTGACAACAAATCCCTTGTTTAAAGGAAATGTTTCTGTGGCAAATCTCCCTATCGCCACATCTACTCTTGGAAAGGAGCCACTGTCATCTTGTCCACCAAATCCAACTATTGGTGGAACTTCTAGGACAAAGCCATTTGATCTAAATGTTGGTGTTGCTATAGTTTAGTCTAATGATCAAGAAGAGACTCAAGTTGTCAAGTCAATCACAGAGGATGAAGACAAGGCAATTAAAGCGAAGTTGCAATTAATGGAGGAAACACTAAAATCGATGCAAGGTGTCCAAACCAATAAATCGGTTGACATCTCATCTTTGTGCTTTTTCCCAAACATTCAACTGCCCCATAAGTTTAAATTGCCTGAATTTGATAAGTACAATAGCACTGGTTGTCCTTATGCCCACTTAACGATGTATTGTAGGAAGATGGCTCCTTATGCCAATGATGAGAAGCTAATGATACATTACTTTCAGGACAGTCTGATAGGTCTTGCAGATGCTTGGTTCCTTACTTTAGACAAAAGTAAGGTCAAAAGTTGGCATGATTTGACTTACAATTTTATGAAGCAATATGAATACAATACATCACTAGCTTCTAGTAGAGAAGATCTTCAAAGGACAAAGAAGAAATCAAGTGAAAGCTTTAAGGAATTTGCTCAAAGATGGCGTGGATTGGCTGCTCGAGTTCAATCACCACTAACTGATCATGAATTGAGTAATTTATTCATTAAATCAACTAAAGGGCCTTATCGTGAAAAGTTGATGACTTGTGTAAATTACACTTTCGCTCAGTTGGTTATTATGGGAGAACAAGTGGAGGATGGAATCAAGTCTGGAATTATTATGGATTATCAAGCAATGAAGAGTATTCTTGAACAATACCAAAATGGTAGTTCAAGGGTTTCTAGTTCGAAGAAAGTGGGTCAAAATCAAAACGAGAATGAGAATGGCACTATAAGCTTACTTTATGAAACATATGGGAGAAAGAATCAACCACGTCCTCAAGGGCAATTCAATAATTCTTTCCAAGCTCCAACTTATCAATTGACAGTTTGTTCAAGACAGCCAAGGCTACTTTATGCCTCTGGTATCAATCGTTCGCAACAAAAAGTGAGACGACATTTCAACAAGCTTCCTTTGTCATACAATGAAGTGTTTCAACAATTGGTAGTAGCTAGTCTTGTTACTCTCGTACATATGGTGCCATTAAATCCACCATTTCCAACATGGTATAACCCACAAGCGAGATGTGAATACCATAGTGGAAGTGTTGGACATGACCTTGAAAATTGTCTTGCTTTAAAGCACCGTATCCAAGATCTGATAGATGCAAAAGGAGTTACAGATTGCATCAGAACCAAAGGTTGTTGGTCCGAATATCACTAAAAACCCCTTAGCAACACACGATAGTTCAACAGTCAATATGTTTGAGAAGGATCTTGAGGAAGGTCAAGAGGTGGCTGCAGTTACTGTCACCAATCAAGTTTCATCAACTCCTAGACAACCTTTAATATTGAAGGGACCAACGCTTATAGTTCCACTCAAACAAGGTTGATCTTAGAACTGCTATTGATGAGGGCTTGAATAAGTGAACAATGGAGTTTTTCCCTATTGCTATCATTTTGGAATGAAATTTGTCTATCATGTTAGTCTTTATTTGCATTTTCCAAACTCTTTTCATATTGCAATTTGAATCTTTGTTCTTCATGTTTTAATTGATAGTTATTCAGTTCTTGATTTTATACTTCCATGAGTTGCATTATTAATGAACTTGAATTCAATTTTGAACCTCATAGAGAAACTTGAGGCTTAAGCAAAAAGTAAAGGTTGAGAAATGAGGGAGGTGATTGAGGGGAAAATAATGGATGAGTAGGAATAAGGGAAATGTACAAAGAGAAGTTGATCTCAAAATTTGAAACAAACATTTCTATGATAGAAAGCTTGAGAATTCTTATCCTTACCATTTCAAACCTTTTGAAAACCTTTGCCAAGGAACCATCTTTAAGAATCGCCACAAATTGCACAAAAAAGAAAAAAAAAAAAAAAGGGAAGATGGTGGAATTTTTGCTAACTTTGTTAGGTGATTGTTATCATTTTGATGCCTATGGTAAAAGATCTAGGATAGCAGGCCTTCCTTTTGAAACTCTATTCCTTAAACCTTGAAAGATTACCCTTAGTTAACATTCTTTCATGACCAATTCAACAACCTGGGAATATTGTTGCATGCCAAATTGGGGGCAAATGTTACTTTCATTGGAAGATTTGGTAAAAATTATTTTGAAAGGAAGAAAGGAA